AAATAATCCTACAGTGAACATCATACTTGCTGTTGAGAAACTGAATATTTGGTCATATCTAAATATGAACCAAGTAAATCCTATCTTACTACTCTATTTAATAGCATACTGGAAGTCCTAACAAGTTCAATAAGACAAGAAAGGGAAGTAAATACAAGGTATAGAGATTTCAAAGGACTAGATCTGTCTTTGCTTGCAAATGACATGATTGTCTTTGTGGAAGATTCCAAAGTACAAAACAAAAAGCAAAACCCCTCCTGAAACAAATCTGTGAGTATAGTGAGGTCACAGGATACAAAGTTCTTATATGAAAGGCAATTATTTTATTTTATACCAGCAATAAACAGTGGTAATTTAAAATACAAAATTTATAATAACCATTCATCATTGCATATAAAAATGAAGTACTTGGGTACAAATCTAATAATGTATATATAGAATCTATATATAGAAAACCATAAAACTCTAAAGAAAATGAAGGAAATATAAATAATTGGAGAGATGTTTTGTCTTCATAGGTTGGAAAACTCAATATTGTAGTATAAATTATTTCCAGCTTGATTTATAGATGCAACATGTCCTCAATCAAAATTCTGTAAGTTATTTCATAGATATTGAAAAAAGTAATCTAAGTTTATATGGAAAGATAAAACATCTAAAATATCCATACTGTATTGTAAAAAAGCAATAATTTGGAAAACTCAACCCAATCTCAAGATTTGCTATACAGCTAGAATAATAAAGACTGAATGGGATTGGAAAAATAATAGACACATTGACAAATGGAATAGAATAGTGAGCCTAAAAATAGACTACAACTACAGTTAATAGTCTTCAACAAGGAAGCAAAGGCAACTAAATGTAGAAAGAATCGTTTTTTCAACAAACGATACTAAAACCATTTGATATCCATATAAAAATGTATCTAGGCACAAATTTAATTCATTGCACATAAATTAACTCAAAATGGATCATTAAGTATACAACTCTAAGTTCTAATAGTTATAGAAGAAGCTGTAGGTGACAAGGTTTGGCAATGAGTTTTTTATTTTTATTTTCAGTTAATTAATTAATTATTTGTTTTAGAGACAGGGTCTGTCTCTGTTGCCCAGGCTGGAGTGCAGTGTCACAATTATAGCTCATTGTATCCTCTAATTCCTGGGTTCAAGTAATCCTCTTGCCTCAGCCTCCCTGGTATTTAGGACTAGAGGTGTACCACAATGCTTGGATTGGCAATGGCTTTTTAAATACAAAACCAAAAGCATGATCCATAAAAGACAAAATTGAAAAGTGCAAATTATGAAAATGTTGACCATTGTGACATACCTTGCTAAAATATCTTTACATTTTATATATGTATTAAGATATTTTCTAATATCTTTCTTTAGATAAATATCTAAAAATATCCTTCAATTTTCAATCAGGAAAGTGGCAGTGGCACTTGTGTACATTTTTATATTAGCTCAGGCTGCCATAACAAAACACCATAGTCTGGGTGGTTTAAGAACAGAAAATAATTTTCTCACAGTCTGGAGGCTGGGAAGTGCATAATCAAGGTGCTAGCTAATTTGGGCTCTGAAGAAGGCTCTCTTCTTGGCTTATAGATGCCTGCCTTCTTTATGTGTTCTCACAGGGTAGAGAGATGTGATAATTTATCTCCTTATAAGGGCACTAATGCTGTCAAATTAGGGCTCCTCCCTGATGACTTCATTTAAACATAATTACTTCTTAAAAACCATATCTCCAAGTACAGTATAGTCATGTTAAAGGTTAGAGCTTTAAATATGAATTTTGGTGGTCACGATTCAGCCCATAGCAATTTCCATCTGATCTTTTATAATAATACTTACTTATTTGCATTTTTTAGACAACAAGCTTTGAGCTTTGCAAAAAAGCACACTATAACCACACACTTAGAAATGTTGGCTGTCGCTCAAAGGACATTAGCATTCTGATTCAGCATAGGAGTGCGGGTGTCTTTGGGAACATATTTGTTGTGAGCCATATTTTTTTGTACATTGTGTTACATATTCTTGGGGATAATTTTCCTTCATGAAATCCAAACCAGTTTGTAATAGGAACTTACTAGATTGATAGTCAAAGCAGTTTGAACCAACAGAAGGAACAAAGGAAAATTACACTCTAAATTCAGAAACAGTTTCTAACACATATTTTCACCACAGCTATCCTTCTTTCCTGAGAATTTTATATCATGGTGTTAAATTTATTTAGATTCTCACAGTTAAATAAGAGTCATGTGCTTTTTTTTTTTTAACAGCCTAAAATATTGGCTGCTCTAACACACAAAATAATATGGGATATTTAGGAAACTACATAATTCAGGGTCACACATATATGTTCTAATGACTTTGATTAGCACTTCCTATTACTTTAGAAATATATAATTAATAGACTTCTAGCTAAATGGCAGTTTTAATGCAAGGACATGGCTTTCTACTTTTCAAAATTTAAATAATTATGTAGGCATCAATATATCCAAGTTAATTCTGGAACCTCTTATATTTCAATCTTACTGCAATATTGAATTCAGAAATACTATATACAACCTAGAAGTAAAATATATACTTTCATCTCCCCAAATCCATGTAAGGAAAACTTATAGCCTACAGCATGTATTTATTGAATCCTTTTGCATTCTCTCTGCAAGTGTCCTGCAGCCTTAAACTCTTTCAAATTATCTCACTCTCTAATTCTTACTCTGAATTCTCTACCAAGCACTCACCCTTATTTAGCTCCCTTGTCTGTTCAGTCTGTCTTTTGCAATTCTCATTCTCTTAGGTATCTGTTATCCACACTCCTCCTGTTGCATGCATTCATCTTTCTCATATATTTAATATCATGTGAGCATTGGAGAGGAGCTGGGATCCCTCTGACAGCAGTGATGCATGGAGGACCTGGGTAAGTGGGATGAATGGCTCTGAGTCCCTGCATTTGGGTAAAGGAGGCTGCATACTACTGGGCAACTTGGCATGGGTAGTCTTTTTTTTCACTACCGGAAGTGTCTGAGTTCATCGGTTTATTTACTACTCACCACAGTATTAAACACGCTCTCCACCACTGTATGATTTTTTCAGTATTCAGGAAACACTACAACCTGTTTGACAGCTAAGCATTCACCAAACATTAATGTTTTTTTGAGTGGTCTATTAAATCACCAGGTAAGATGCACATAAATTTTAATTAAGAATTTTTTAAATTAAGAATATTTTTACCATAATAGCCTACATTAAATAAAAGTTCTTTGTTCCTTCCCAACTTGACAACTTGCTGAAATCTTCAGGTTCCAACCAACATCACACCTTAAAAGTATAAATAGTTCTTGAAAATATCTAGGTCACCTGATAACAACATAAACATAAAGAAAGTACAAAATAGTAAAGAAGCTCTGTGAGACTATTATATAGAGATTCTGCTACTTCTTGTACCTGCTTATTGAATAAGACCCTTGCATTTGCTCTTGCTTGACCCAGACTGTGTTCAGAAACTACTCTCCTGTGATTAGTGTTTTTAAACACGTTTTTGAAATCGATGCAACAAATGCTTCTTGTTTTCAAATCATACACTTTAAATTGAAATTTATTTTAATCAAGGATGATAGCACTAAATATTTTATCCTAGCATTACATATAATAAATTAAAAAACAAATGGCTCATATGGTATTTATTGACACCTGTATAATTAATTGGAGCAGGCTGATAAGTAGATGGTGTTTTTTTTTCCAAAAACCTTCTACTACAAAGTCATGGATTGGCAAAATATTACAATGTTTAGCAATGTTTCAATGTCTTATACAACATAATCTTTAATGTGTTCTCTCAGCTGATGTAATGTGAAAGGAAATAAATCTCAAGACCCCTAAATCACTAAGACAAAGGGAATAGTCAAGCTGGGAACTGTGTTAGACAAACCTGCTTTCCGTTTTATCCCTAAATAAGATGGTTTAGAAGTAAAGATTAAAAAACTACATACATGTCTCACAATTTTCCCACAGAGAAATTCATTGTGGGCAAGGTTTTCACCCTAAAATACTTTTGTAGAATTTCACTCTGGCAATATAAATTGATAGCTTATCTTCACAAGTACAGGACAAAGGACAGAACTTGAATTCACCCCTCCGCTGACCTGAGACAAATGGATATCTGATGCTTCCACTGGCCTGTTGTTTATGTAAAAATGCAGATTCCCTGAGTCAGACTAAGGTATAAATGACATTTCCTCTACTCTGTTCTCACATGTAAATTGTGTATTTAGTAAAAGGCTAATCAAAGACTCAAAATAATGCAATGATTTGCCTCTTATCTACCTATGACCTGGATGACACCTCCCTAACTTTCCCCCAAACTTTGAGTTGTCCCGGCTCTCCAAACCAAACCAATGTGTATATCTTACATATATTGATTGATATCTTATGTCTCCCTAAAATGTATAACGCTAAGCTGTACCCCAGCCACCTCGAGCACACGTCGTCAGGACCTCTGAGGCTGTGTTACAAGCACATCCTTAACTTTTACAAAATAAACTTTCTAAATTGATTGAAACCTATCTCTGATATTTTTCACTCACAATACTTAACAGCACTTTCAGTTTCTCTGGTACAGGGAAGTAATCTTTGTAAAGAAAAAATAGATAATTTTTCTAGATACTCCGTGATGCTTAGTAAATCATTAAGAAGATTAATAGCAATCAGACAGATACAGTAGAAATTAATGAAATGATGGTAGAAGAATGGAACCAAACTCTAAAATCAATCCTTTTAGACCCTATGATTCTTGATATTATTGGCAGAAGTTAATCATCGTGTAGAAGACAAAATGACAATACTTTTGCCATTATTTTAAAGCTTTCACTGAATATTTATCTGATATAGGTAAGTGATAGATTTCAATCTAATACTCTGAAACCTAAATCCTATATCCCAGAATTTTCCATGTCATTAACTTTAGAAGGTTAACTGCCCTTTAACTCTCTCTGTGAATACAGATTTCTCAGCCTCACTTCTTGTATATTTATCTCTAAGTAGCTGTGGATTTTATATGGCCTCAAAAATCTTTGCCTCTTTTAGGCTTTTTTAAGGGTCCAATTTATCTTAAGAGCGGAAGTATCACTTCACTGTAAAATCATATTTGTATATTGACACATGCACACACACACACACACAAACACATTTATTGAGAAAAGAGTATTTTAAAAGGTATTCCAAAAGGTTAGAATCACAAAAATATGTATCTAAAGTATCAGTGCTGTATAGGACCTGAACCCTTTTTTGTGACCCACTGTTTCTGTAGAAGGAATTCTGCAAAAAATTTCCTTGTTTTATGTTTTTATTACAATGTTAATCTTTCTAATTCTTATAACTTAAAAATACTGGATTGTGCTATAATTACATTCGATTTAAAATAATTTAAATGAATTATTTTTATTGAAACATGATTTCTCAACCTTGGTACTATTAACATTTTGGGCTCCAAGATTCTTATTGTAGGAAGATGTCCTGTGCTTTGTAGGATGTTTTGCAGTATCTCTGGGTTTTATTCTGTAGATCCCAGTAGAATCCCTCAGGGGTGACAACCAAAAATGTTGCCTTGACATTTGTCCCTGGGGGCCAAAGTCACTTCTAGTTGGAAATCACTGCCTTATTTAAAAGAAGGGTGTTAAAAATATTTGATTATTTGTCATAATTAATATGTGATATTAATAATAATAATGTCCACATTTGGGTGGCCTACTCTAGATGTGTCCAAAAAAAAATCATACAGCTTGTCTCCATTTAATAGACAGTTCTCAATTTTAGTGAATTTTTATAGAAATAAATACAAAATCTGAAGCTCAGTCAAATAATCTTCACTTTTGGATTAAAATTTTGAGGGCATTTAAACTTCTCTTTCTTTATGTATGCCTTCTTCCCTCTTTGTTTTGTATATTAAGGTAGGAGGACATGATTTCATTATTGTCTCTGCATAGCTTATTGATGACATCTACTGCTTTGCCCTCAGCACCTCACAGAAATTTCAAGGCAAATTAATTTCCAGATGGTTTCATAGGTATAAAAAACTTTTCTAGATATACAGCCTATTTTAGCATATTATCTTATGTCCTGGAAGGAAAGCCAAGAGTAATTGAATGCCATTAGGCAGAGTATAACTTAGAAAATATGATCTAATTAGTCCTTAAAATTCTCTGTCTTCTAGTTTTACATGTTCTTTCACTTCTATATAATGCATCATCCCTTTATGATGCTCTTCTCTAGTTAATATTGACTGGTGTGAATATTGTATTCTTTCTCATTATATTTTTGTGAAACATTATTCTAGCAACTTTCCAAGCCAATTTGGTTTTATATAAAGAAGAAAGGTGTATCCATATTTAAGAAGCAGGTACATGCAAATATATTTACTAAATCTAAATGTAAAACTCTAAAATTATTGTGTAATCAATATTTTTATTAAAAATTTTTATATTGTGATAAAATACACATAATTGCCATCTTAGCCATTTTAAATGTGTAGTTCAGTAGTGTTATGTTCACACTACTGTGCAACCAATATCCAGAACTTTTTTATTTTGCAAAACTGAAAGTCCATACCTGTAAAACAAAAACTTTTCACTTCCTCCTGCTCTTAACTCCTAGATACCACCATTCTATCTTCTATCTCTATGATTTTGATTACTCTAAATACCTCATATATGTGGAAGCATACTGTATTTGTCTTTCTGTGACTGGGTTATCTTATTTATCATAAAATCATCAATATTCATCTATGTTGTAGCCTGTGTCAGAATTTTCTCCTTTTTAAAGGCTGAATAATATCCCATTTTAATGATATACCACTTTTTTATTCATTTATCTGTCAGTGAATATTTGGGATGCTTTCACCTTTGTATTTATTGTAAATAATCCTGTTATGATCATGGTGTACAAATACTTCTTCAAGGCCTTGCTTTGGATTGTTTTGGCTGTATCCAGATGTTAAATTCCTGAATTGCTGGATCATACAATATTTATTCATTTTAATATGAATTTTTCACATGTACTATTCTCTAGACTGCTTTCTAAAATAATATTACCTGGATGCTTTTCCGTGTAAGCACTTAAATATCCACATTATTCTTTAAATGGTTGCATAATATTCCACCATGTCTGTTTACTGTGGTTTATTTCCCTAATAACTCTTTGAGAGACATTTAGCTGTTTTTAATGCAAAATCAATAGTTCTACACTGAACATTCTCATACATATCTCTTTGCACACATGTGGGAATAAACAAATTTCTAAAAGTATAATAGCTAGATCAAAAGCTATGTATTTTTTTTGTAATAGAAATTAACAAAAGACCCCTTGCCGGGCGCGGTGGCTCACGCCTGTAATCCCAGCACTTTGGGAGGCCGAGGCGGGTGGATCACGAGGTCAAGAGATCGAGACCATCCTGGTCAACATGGTGAAACCCCGTCTCTACTAAAAATACAAAAAATTAGCTGGGCATGGTGGCGCGTGCCTGTAATCCCAGCTACTCAGGAGGCTGAGGCAGGAGAATTGCCTGAACCCAGGAGGCAGAGGTTGCGGTGAGCCGAGATCGCGCCATTGCACTCCAGCCTGGGCAACAAGAGCGAAACTCCGTCTCAAAAAAAAAAAAAAACAAAAGACCCCTTAAAGAAGCACACTGATTTTATGTTCTCACCCAGAGGGTATGAGTGAGGAATTTTAAAACTTGCCTTTCTGTTTCATTTTTGAATTCTGAGGAGGCTTTGAAAACTAATTTGCTATGAAAAATAATTTCTTTAATTTAAAAATGATAATTGCATATATTTATGGGGTACATAGTGATGTTTTGATATGTGTAGTGAATAGTAATCAGACAATAGTAGTTTGCATATTCACCATCTCAAGCATTTATAATTTCTTTGGGAATGTTTAATGTCCTGTTTGAAACTATATATTTGAAAGCTATTTGAAACTGTATAACATATTATTGTTAATTATATTCATCCTACAACTATATAGAACACTAGAACTTATTCCTCCTATTGAGCCAAATTTTGTATCCTTGAACAAATCCCTCCATATATCCCCATTTACCTATATTTTCCAGCCTCTACCCAAAGAAGTCTGCAGATTCAGTGCAATCTCTCTAAAAATAGCAATGACATTCTTCACATACACACAAACATCTTAAAATTTGTATGGAACCACAAAAGACTCCAAAGAGCCCAAACAATCCTGAACAAAAAAGAACAAAGCTGAAGGCATCAATTATATTACCAGACTTCAAAATATACCACAAAGCTATAGAAACTAAAACAGTATGATCCTAGCATAAAAAGCAGACTCATGGACCAATGAGAGAGACTAGAGATGCCAGAAATTAATCTACATATCTGCAACCAACTGATATTTGAGAAGGCACAAAGAATACTAATTGGAGAAAGGAAGTCTCTTCAGCAAATCATGGTGGGAAAACTGGATATCCATATCAGAAGAATGAAGCTAGACCTCCACTTCCCATACTATGCAAAAATCAACTCAAAATGAATCAAATACCTAAATGTAAGATTTGAAACCATAACACTACTATAAGAAAACATAGAAGAAACATTTCTGGACTTTGGTCTGAGAAAATTGTTATGAATAACACCTCAAAAGCACAGGCAATGAAAGCAAAAATAAACAATTGGGACTCTGTCAAACTACAAACCTTCTGCACAGCAAAGAAAACAACACAGTAATAGGGGACCTAAAGAATGAAAGAAAATGAGACTTCTGCTAAGATAGCCAATAGGAACAGCTCCAGAGTGCAGTTCCCAGTGAGAGCGATGCAGAAGATGAGTGATCTCTGCATTTCCAATCGAGATACCAGGTTCATCTCAATGGGACTGGTTGGACAGTGGGTGTAGCCCAAGGAGGGCAAACCGAGGCAGGGTGTGGTGGTGCCATACCCAGGAAGTACAAGAGACTGGAGAACTCCCCCTCCTACCCAAGGGAGGCTATCGGGGCCTTTTCCAGGCACTCCGGCACACCGGCTCAGATGCTACACTTTTCCCACGCTTTACAGCCCAGAGACCAGAAGATTCCTGCTGGTGCCACCAGTGTGGCAGGTTTCCAGCACAAAACCGGGTGGCTGTTTTAGCCAGCGCTGTGGTCTAGCACAAAACTGAGTGGCCCTTTTAGCTGGTGCCTGGAATACCTGGGTGACAGAACCACTCTTTCCCCTGAAAAGAAAAAAAGGGAGCTGAGTCAGGGAGCCAAGTGATCTCGCTCAGCAGGTCCCATCCCCACAAAGACCAGCAAACTGAGTCCCACTGGCTTGAGATTTTCGCAGCCAGCACAGCAGTTTGAGCTTGACCTGGGACGGTCAAGCTCAGAGGGAGAGGGGTGTCTGCTATTATTGAGGCAGTTCTAACCTTGCTTGTGTAAACAAAAGTGCAAGGAAGTTACACAGCAGCTGGGTGTAGCCTACAGCAGCTCAGCAAGGCCTTTGCAGGCAGACTGTGACTAGACTCCCTCCTTGCTGGGCAGGTCATCTCTGAAAAAAGGCAGCAGCCCATCAGGGACTTATAAATCAAGCCCCACCTTCCCAGGTCAGAGCACCTGGGAAAAAGGGTGGTTGTGAGTCCCACTTCAGCAGACTTAAATGTCCCTGCCCAGTAGCTCTGAAGGGAGCAACGGAGCTCCCAGCACAGCATTTGAGCTCTGAAAAGGGACAGACTGCCTCCTCAAGTGGTTCCCTGATCCCTGTATATCCTAAGAGACAACCCATACAGAAGAGCTGTGGCTGGCATCTGGCAGGTACCCTTCTGGTACGAAGCTACCAGAGGAAGGAACAGGCAGCAATCTATGCTTTTCTGCAGCCCCTGTGGGTAATTCCCAGGCAAGCAGGGTCTGAAGTGACCTCCATTAGTCCTGCAGCAGAGGGACCTGTTAGAAGGCAACTTAAAACACAAAAAGAAACAGCTTCAACATCAGCAGAAAGACATCCACTCAGAGACCTCATTCAAAAGTCACCAACTTCAAAGACCAAAGGTAGATAAATCCACAAAGATGGGAAGAAACCAGTGTAAAAAGGCTGAAATCACCAAAAACCAGAATGCCTCTTCTCCTCCAAGGGATCACACAACTCCTCATCAGCAAGGGAACAAAACTGGATGGAGAATGAGTTTGATGAATTGACAGAAGCAGGCTTCAGAAGGTGGATAGTAACAAACTTGTCTGAGATAAAGGAGCATGCTCTAACCCAATGCAAAGAAGCTAAGATCCTTGAAAATAGGTTAGACAACATGCTAACTAGAATAACAAGCTTAGAGAGGAACATAAATGACTTGATGGAGCTGAGAAACACAGCACAAGAACTTCACAAAGCATACACAAGTTTCCATAGCCAAATCAATCAAGCAGAAGAAAGGATATCAGAGATTGAAGATCAACTCAATGAAATAAAATGAGAAGGCAAGGTTAGAGAAAAAAGAGTGAGAAGAAATGAACAAAGCCTCCACAAAATATGGGATTATGTGAAAAGACCTAATCTGCATTTGATAGGCGTACCTGAATGTGATGGGGAGAATGAAACCAAGTTGGAAAACACTCTTCAAGATAGTATCCAGGAGAACTTTCCCATCCTAGAAAAGTAGGCCAACATTCAAATCCAGGAAATACAGAGAACATCACAAAGATATTCCTCAAAAAGAACAACTGCAAGACACATAATCATCAGATTCACCAGGGTTAAAATGAGCAACAAAATTGCTAAAGGCAGCCAGAGAGAAAGGTCAGGTTACCCACAAAGGGAAGCCCATCAGACTCACAACGGATATCTTGACAGAAACTCTATAAGCCAGAGGAGACTGAGGGCCGATATTCAACATCCTTAAAGAAAAGAACTTTCAAGCCAGAATTTCATATCCAGCCAAACTAAGCTTCATAAGTGAGAAATAAAATCCTTTACAGATAAACAATTGTGGAGAGATCTCATCATCACCAGGCCTGCCTTACCAGAGTCCCTGAAGGAAACACTAAATAAGGAAAGAAACGACCACCTAGCAGCCACTGGAAAAATGTACCAAATGGTAAAGACCATTGACATAATGAAGAAACTGCATCAACTGACAGACAAAACAACCAGCTAGTATCAAAATGGCAGGATCAAATTCATACATAACAATATTAACCTTAAATGAAATGGGCTAAATGCCCCAGTCAAAAGACAAGTGGGCAAATTGGATAAAGAGTCAAGACCCATTAGTTTGCTGTATTGAGGAGACCCATCTCACATGCAGACACACGTAGGCTCAAAATAAAGGATTGGAGGAAGATTTTCCAAGCAAATGGAGAGCAAAAAAAAAAAAAAAAAGCAGGAGTTGCAATACTAGTATCTGATAAGATGGACTTTAAACCAACAAAGAAGGGACAAAGAAGGGCATTCCATGATGGTAAAGAGATCAATGCAACAAGAAGAGCTAACTATCCTAAATATATATGCATTCAATACAGGAGCACCCGGATATATAAAGCAAGTTCTTAATGACCTACAAAGAGACTTAGACTTCCACACAATAATAATGGGAGAAGTTAACACTCCACTGTCAATATTAGACAGCTCAATGAGACAGAAAATTAACAAGGATATACAGGACTTGAACTCAGATCTGGACTAAGCAAACCTAATAGACATCTACAGAACTCTCCACCCCAAATCCACAGAATATACATTCTTCTCAACACCACGTCACACTTACTCTAAAATTGACCACATAATTGGAAGTAAATCACTCCTCAGCAAATACAAAAGAAAAGAAATCTTAACAAACAGTCTCTCAGACCAGAGTGAAATCAAATTAGAACTCAGGATTGAGAAACTCACTCAAAACCACACAACTACATGGAAGCTGAACAACCTGCTCCTTGATAAATAATAACATGAAGGCAGAAATAAAGATGTTCTTTGAAACCAATGAGAACGAAGACACAACATACCAGAATACCCCAGACTCATTTAAAGCATTGTCTAGAGGAAAATTTATAGCACTAAATGCCCACATGAGAAGCGAGGAAAGAGCTAAAATCAACACCCTAAGCTAAATCTAAAAACCCTAAAGTTCTAAAATCACAATTAAAAGAACTAGAGGAGCAAGCTTAAACAAATTCAAAAGCTAGAAGAAGACAGGAAATAACTAAGATCAGAACAGAACTGAAGGAGATAGAGACACAAAAAACCCTTCAAAAAAATCAATGAATCCAGGAGCTGGGTTTTTTTGAAAAGATCAACAAAATAGACAGACTGGTAGCCAGACTAATAAAGAAAAGTGAGAAGAATTGAATAGATGCAATAAGAAATGATAAATGGGATATCACCACCAATTCCACAGAAATACAAACTACCATCAAAGTTTACTACAAACAACTCTATACACATTAACCATTAAATCTAGAAGAAATGGATAAATTCCTAGATACTTACACCCTCACAAGACTAAACCAGAAAGAAGCTGAATCCCTGAATAGACCAATAGCAAGGTCTGAAGTTGAGGCAGCAATGAATAGCCTACCAACCAAAAAATGTCTAGGACCAGATGCTTTCACAGCTGAATTATACCACATATACAAAGAGGAGCTGTTACCATTCCTTCTGAAACTATACCAAACAATACAAAAAGAGGGAATCTTCCCTAACTCATTTTATGAGACCAATATAATCCTGATACAAAAACCTGGCAGAGACACAACTAAAAAAGAAAATTTCAGGCCAATATCTATGATGAACACTTATATGAAAATCTTCAATAAAATACTGGCAAACCCAATTGAATAGCACATCAAAAAACTTATTCATCACGATCAAGTAGGCTTCATCCCAGGGATGCAAGGCTGGTTCAACATATGCAAATCTATACAGATATTGATCAACTTACCACCTATGCAACTTACGACCATTTGACTTTACGACCTCAATCGCTAGCCATGACTGCTCCACATCTGGCAGTGCAAACGTCACATCTGTGACAGTGCGGACCCACTTCTGGTAGCACTACCATCTCTGCGTGCACCATTTCAACTGTATATATAGCCTACTTAACTTACGACCAAATCGTGTTATGACCAGTCCACGGTCTCGACCATGGTCGTAAGTCGAGCACTAGCTGTAAACATAATTGATCACATAAACAGAACCAAAGACAAAAACCACATGATTATCTCAATAGATGCAAAAAAGATCTTCAACAAAATTCAACAAACCTTTATGCTAAAAACTCTCAATAAACTAGGTATCGATGGAACATATCTCAAAATAATAAAAGCTATTTATGACAAACCCACAGCCAATATCATACTGAATGGGCACAAACTAGAAGCATTTCCTTTGAAAACTGGCACTAGACAAGGGTACCCTCTCTCACCACTCCTATTCAACAAAGTTTTGGAAGTTCTGGCCAGAGCAATCAAGCAAGAAAAAGAAATAAAGGATATCAATTTGGAAAGGAGGAAGTCAAATTGCCTCCATTTGCAGATGACATGATTGTATATTTAGAAGACCCCATTGTCTCAGCCCAAAATCTCCTTAAGCAGATAAGCACAGTCAGCAAAGTCTCAGGATACAAAATCAATGTGCAAAAATAACAGGCATTCCTATACACCAATAACAGACAAACAAAGAGCCAAATCATGAGCGAACCACCATTCACAATTGCTACAAAGAGAATAAAATACCTAGGAATAGTACTAAAAAGGGATGTGAAGGAACCTTTTCAAAAAGAACCATAAACCACTGCTCAAGGAAATAAGAGAGGACACAAACAGATGGAAAAACTTTCCATGCTCATGGTTAGGAAGAATGAATATGAAAATGGCCATACTGCTCAAAGTAATTTATAGATTCGATACTATTCCCATCAAAATGCCATTGACCTTCTCCAGAGAACTGGAAAAACCCACCTTAAACCTCAAATGGAACCAAAAAAGAGCCCACATAACCAAGACAATCCTAAGGAAAAAAGAACAAAGCTGGAGGCATCACCCTACCTGACTTCAGATTATACTCCAAGGCTACAGTAATCAAAACAGCATGGTACTGGTACCAAAACAGAGATATAGACCAATGGAACAGAACAGAGGCCTCAGAAGTAACGCCACACATCTACAACCACCTGATCTTTGACAAACCTGACAAAAACAAGCAATGGGGAAAGGATTCCCTGTTTAATAAATTGTTTTGGGAAAACTGGCTAGCCATGTGCAGAAAGCTGTAACTGGATCCTTTCCTTATACCTTATAAAACATTAACTCCAGATGGATTAAAGATATAAAGATAAGACCTAACACCATAGAAACCCTAGAAGAAAATGTAGGTAATATCATTCAGGACACAGACACAGGCGAGGACTTCTTGAGTAAAATACCAAAAGCAGTGGCAACAAAAGCCAAAATAGACAAATGGGATCTAATTAAACTAAAGAGCTTCTGCACAGCAAAAGAAGCTATCATTAGACTGTGAAAAAATTTTGCAAGCTACCCATCTGACAAAGGGTTAATATAGAATGTACTCATAAACCAATGAAATAATGTATGTTTTACTTTATCTCTGTAATCTTGGTTTTTCTCTGTGAGAGAGATATTTATTGGAAATGTGTCATATTCCTCTTGGAAATAATATAGGAAACCTCTAATTTTACTATAGAATTTTCTGATTATTCTAAAAATGCAATATTCTGGTATGTTTGGGAAGGAGATACTAATCTATTCCTAAACATCATATAAAAATGCTTTAAAAAGGGAACAAGCATTGTATTTCTGAAGAAATGAGTAGTGAGTATTGTTCAGTGTCCAGCTACCACCTCTGAATCACTATCCCTGATCCTGTCATTAGATCTGTGAAAACTGAAAAAAGTACACTAAAAATAAGTAAATAAATAAGTTGTGTCTATTGTACGTTTCACACAGCAATTTATTTGGTTACTTATTATTTTGGCTTGTTTGGTTGTCTTGGTAATTAAAAATGGCAACATATATGCAGATTTTCTGAATAAGTATTTGTAATACTTATGAAAAATCTACCTGGAAAAGCAGTGGCTGCCTGAGTTGTTAATCATGAGTTCTTTGGACAGAAGCATTTCTTTTTCTGTCATGATCAGAATGACTGATGAGTTTCTGCATAGTGTAGGCTCAAGGAGAAGGTATGTGCCTCATCAGTGTGATTGAGTTATGGCAGGAAACATTTAGAAAGCAGTGCTGCTGCAGACGTAGGAACTGCTTAAGTGATGTATGTGTATAATCTTTATCTCTCCAATGACTTCTCTCCTTTGGCACAAGTTATTGTTCATGCCATTTTTTTATTTCATGCTCAGATAATTCATGTCTTTTCTTAGTATGAAAACTGATAGATTTTGCTTTTTGAAAAAATTGAGTACATTTTAAAAATCTTCTTTCAATTTTGCTGTGGTTTAATTTACCAAGAATTGTTTGATTTACTGAATGTTCAACACTATTTCAGTTATATATTAAAGTGATTTACCTAAGCATGTTGTGGTTAAACCCTGTTAAAATGGCCTTTTGTGGAGAGTATTTTATCCCTCTGATACTTAATTCAGTTTTAACAGTGCAATGAGAGAGCATTGTTTATGCTATAGAACGATTCACTCAGGACATTGAAGTGCAATGAGAAAATTGCTACCTCTAGTAAAATTTATGACAATAAATCTAGAAATGTTTGATAAATCCCAAAGAGTATCTAGAAATGCTTGATAAATTCCAAAGAGAATTATTTCCTACTTAGTAGAAAACTGTAGATTTATAAATTTTTCAAAAGAAAATTCACAAGTAAGTAAAATCACAGGATCTTTATGAAATTATATTTGCATGTAATGAAATTAACAACAATAGAGGTACTTGTTTGATTCTAAAGTAATTATCATTTATAGATAACTAGAAATAGTTATTGATAGTAGATTAGAATAATTTTATA